TTACAATTGAAGTGATGTCTGGTGCCACTTAAACTCAAAACGCATGGCACCCTTAAAACGGTTTTTTATTGAACATTCTGTAAAATTATAATAGTTTTTCCAAATTAATCTTTATTTTTTTAGCAGAGTATCGGCTTAAAACAATTTAAAAAACTCAAAACCTAGAATAAATCTTGACAAACGGAATAAAGATTCAAATGCAGCGTATCAAATTACGTTGAGAATCGTTCTCATCTGGTCGGGTCCAAAAGTTTATCGGAATTTGTAAACTTGTGATATTAGTAAACAATAAAAATATATACCTATGAATCAAATACTTATTTCTTATTGTTTAATAAAGTCAGTAATTTCAGTTTATTTTTAAGCATTATTTTTATCATGTTACACACCCAAAATTTTCAATGTTTAATACCGAATTTAAAATATCGTCACTAATATTTTCAAATGTTCCATGTATTTGTAATGACTGTTTTAATACCGTGCCTAGCTTCCATATAAGTAGGTAAAGATGCATTTCCTAATTCGTGGTCTAATTCAAAGGTATCTTCAGCGATCGCCTTGATATTTATTCAATACAGCAGCGATGTCCACATCGCTAGGTTCCTCCAATGTAATTCGATCTTTGTCAGCATCAATGAAGTTTTCCAAACCACTTTCCAAACTACTGTAACGGTTTACTTTTCCTTTTAAATTTGTTAGCGTCATCTGTTACTCCTTATTGTCCTCTTAAAATCCTCTTAAAAGTCCTGTTTCGTCCCTATTGAAAATATCATCACCGGTGTAGTTTCTCCTTAATTCAAGTCAAATATACTTTAACGAAGTAGACAAGACGTCTTTATTAACTTCTGCTGCTTCTCCAGTAATTTTAGCGATAACGATATTTTGTCTTGCTTTAAATCTTTCCAACCATCCTGTAGTATATTGAAAATCCTGCCCATCCAGTAATTTTCCAGACTCTTCAGCTTTCGTCTTTAACCCTAGATTACTCTACAGTGTTTGGCTAATTAGTGTTGCATAAAAATTCGACTGAGTTGCCGATTATTTTAAACTTCCGTCTTAAATTCTACGAAAGTCCAGCATTTACGTAACTATCATACAAATTTTCAGGTTAAGAGAATTCGAGAGATTTGCAATAATGCTTGAAAAATCTTGACTATTCACAGAAAAATTTCTTTCAAAAAACCATTGATGCAAAAGGAAATAAATAAAAAAGTACAGGGTCTGTCATGACCAGCTGAGTCTATATATATATGGCAAACTATTATTTTTATGAAAATTTGTATACAGAGTTTATGCGAGGAGCTCTTTTCAGCTAAAATATTTTCAGTTTTCTGCAACTTTTGATTCTACCGAAAATGGACCCGTACTTCGTTATTTTAAACGGAATATCCCAATTTTTATTAAATTTTCGAAATCCCTGCTAAATTTTAATGTAATTTAATATAAGTCATTATGTGTCTAGGTTGCACAATTGTCAGGCCATGTTATCAGGCCAACTATTCTCAGAGTTTGCACAAATAGGACCTATAGCTTACATAATCTATGAAAACTTTCTTTAAAAATTATATAGGCTGATCGGGCAGGTAGGGAAATTTGGCGCAAATTTCCCTACCTCGAAAAGTCGAAAAGTTAATTTTTTTAAATGGCAACCCCACTTTTTTTCTTCACCACCGTATTATACGCTGAATAAAAAAAAGAATAAGGTGATTTTGTTACATCTAAAATTTATGGTTTTTGTAGAAATTTGAAAAAAAACGAAATATCGTGGTTATTTGAAAATTTGATAATATCAGTTGTCCTTGGTTTGAAAGAAATGATATGAAACAAAAACTATTCTACGCTGGAGAGTAAGGAGACTTTATGATTAACATCATACCGAACCAGATAACATAGAGGGGAGACAGATAACATAGAATCAGAATTGAGTAAATCTGATAAAGAAACCTCTTTAAATGAATACATGTCTGAATATACATACAAACGATATCCGTATACCTGACAAGAAGAATTGCCATAAATGGAGTATTACCACAACTATCCAAAAGAACAACAGCAAGGAATATTATTCATTTCGTACCGGATCCCAAAGGATCCCTTAACAAAGAATTCCTCTGCTATAAGCGAATGCTTCTTGCATTTCTTTTCGAACGATATATTAGATATCATTCTCCACCACACGAACACAGAAATTGCTAGGCAGGCTAAATATTCTAGTCACTCTCCTTGCAATTTTAATACTTTCTGTAACAAATAAAGATAACCATTTGGCCGCAAAACATGTGTTTGACGATACAATTTCTGGTTCATTTTATAAGGGGTATTGAACGTTTTTCATTGTTGTTAAACTGTATCAGATTCGACGATAGAAAAAGTAGGTAAGAAAGAAATATGCAGAATCTTATCTTATATTACCATAGACGAACAAATTTTAAGGTATCATTGTCAATGGCTTTTTAAAATGTACAGGGTGGCCAAATAAGCGTGCAAAGTACTGTATCTCGGAAACTATTCATTGTAGAGACTTGCGGTAAAAAAATTAATAACTAAAGTGGCTAAGAGAAAATCCTGGAAATTATTTCCAGACTTCTAAGATGGCCGCTAACGAGGCGCAAGTGCCAACTTGAATTAGAAAATGCGGATTTTCTCGGAATTCCGCTATATTAACATAAAAAAAGGTATATGCCTTTTAAAGCTTATATAAATTATAGTTTTTCTTGTTAAAACACTTTTTGCCCTATCTCTAAACATAAAGTGTTCGAAAATGTTTGTAAACAAATCAATAATTTCAAAATGGCTAAATGGATTTTAATAATCTTGGTATCGTTGAAAAGAAGTTTTCTTGGACTACAAATCCTACTTTATTTGTAGTGATTGTAAGTTAGTGCATCGGCACTAGAGGGCTTTTTTCTATATTGCAAATGAAGCCCAAACAAGTTAGTGAAAACCGTACCTCGATATCATGTTCCTAACCTAAAATATCGATGAAAGAAGATTTTATGAGAAAATTCGATGGATTTTGATCAGTATTTTTAAAATTTTTTAAACTTCCTTAATTTAGAAGATCGTCACCTCACTTTTGAGAATATTCCTGATTCTATTGTTTAGCTACTAACTACTACTAATTGCCCTAAGGAAATTATGTCGAGCTTCTAAAAATTTGTTTAATGCCTCCTTAAATACTTAAATTGCCGTTCATCACGTTCTATCCATTGCTGGAGCCTCTCTTGCGTGGAAAAAACTATGAACTTTTAATTTCTGCTCTTGGTAGGTTGTGAAAGACATTCCCAATCCTATTTTCCATATCTTGTCTGGTTGTAGGTTGAGTTTGAAACATCATTAACCAACCCCACAAATAAATATTCAAACAAGTTAAATGTGGGGATCTGCCTGGCCATGGAAATAGGCTTCCTCTTCCGATCCATAGCTGTTCAGAAGTACTACAATAATATAATTGTTACTATATTTTTCATTTTTTTTTGTAAATAAAAAATAAAAAAACAATTGTCACATCTGTCCAGAATAATAAAACATTCATAAAAAAACGTAAACAAATAATCGACTTTATATAGAATAAAAAACTAGTCCTTAGACCATACATTGGTCACAAACAAAAACCATTGAATTGGGGGGGTAGAGAACCAAATACATTGTTCTAATCAGAAAAAGACCCTCTTATCTTACATGCCAAAGAAAGTGAAAGTAGTTTTACTTCATTTTACAGTACACGAAAAATTTTGACACACTTTGAGCAAATATGCTCTAATATGACTTGTCAGAGAAAAAGACAAAGGTGTCCTTTGTGTGTGTTATGGAATTTACTTTTTCTTAAAATAAATATTTTTTGTGAAAAATGGTGTTTTTCGTTTAAGTCGTAAAATATACCATAGTCCAGTATTAACGTTCGTCGAAAAAGTCTGGATCTAGGGTTAAATATGGACCACTCGCTGACACATTTCAATTTCTTTTAGCTTGAAACCACTTCAATAAAGCAGATTCCACGTCTTAGCGTAAAGGTTTTCTATATGCTTCTAGTATTTCTTTTCTGTTGATCCATATTGTAGAAATCGTAGTTTTCCCAATACTTTTGTTTCTACTAATTGATGCTTGAGAAATTCCACTTTGAATTTCGTGTATAACACCTTTTTCTTTCAAATCTAATGCTTTACGCTTGCTTACATTCGAGACGTTTCCAAGTGGATCGAATGTATACAAAGACCGGAGACCTCGGGGATTTCCCTAAATTTTACACACTTGTACGATATACTCAAACGTTACAACTTACAACCGATGTACGTTACAGCCGCGAACGCTATATCATGTAGACGTGATACTATAAGCAAGTGAACTTTGAACGGACAGAAAAAAACATTCGTATATTCGAGTGATATAAGATCATTCAAGAACTTTAAGTAACTGTTTATATATTATCATCCTTTTTATTAAAAGGTCGCAACTATAAAAATTGTTATATCGCAATAAAGAAAACACTTTATTACGTTATTTTAAAAATGTGTATATGAAACAATAATATTTGGGCAAGTAATTTTCATTTGAATAGAGTACTTTGCGTAATTGCAAGAATTAATCGAGAAAATGAAAGCGTCAGGTACCGTTTCGTGCAGTTACTAATGAATCGATGGCAAATTATTCAATAAATTACACTCTCGTTTGCTGGCTCGCAATGGACGCCCAAAGTATTGGAAACAACTTCATTAGCATTCAACAGCATACCCTACAGCACTGTCACGTTTAACCCTGAAAACGATATCGTATTGAAACATTGTCATGTAACACAAAGGTCATTGAAATTTATGGGATAGTTTTGAAATAATGTATAAATACGTAATATCAAAATTTTTTTAAATCGTAACAACCGCGCTTTAATAAAAGAATTTTTATATTACAAAATAATAAAAATAACAAAATCTTTTGTAAAGCTAAATTGCTTCTTTTATAACGTGATGCAGTACAAACAAACTTTTATTTTATTTTCATTCCAGGATAATGGTCCACCGGCAAGACTACTCACAGCAATGCGAGGTAGGCTGAGACAAGTAGCCGCTTCGTTACAAGCTGCTGTCCGATTTCGTAGGTTTTCTCGAAGGGAAGCACGACCTCCTGACTGGTTCGTCGATAAAAGCAATCAGGACGATACTGCGGAAAACAAGGAATCGCCGGCCCCATCGTGTTGGGGACACAAAATTGTTGTAAACCCATCCTCCCCAACACATTATAAGGTAATCTCGACTTCTCGTCTTTCCCACTATGTCGCGTTACAACGCAGTTCCGTATTCTTTCTCTTTTTCTCTACTCACTGAAACAGCCAAAAGTAATTTCTTCGTCTCTTAATTTATTTTTCTCGTGTTTCTTCTACGAAAGATTTATTTCTTTCACTTGGACGTGTCTAATAAATATAGCAGCGAGTTGAGAAAATTACGCAACGAAAGAGTGATAATACTCGTAAAACCACCGCGTCTTTCGACTTAAGGTCGTTCACTTTACGAAGTTATTATGCAGCGAAAATTGCTGAAAACATCTTGTTGGAGCTTTAATGCAAAGACGGTTTTAAGTAAATTGAAGTTTTCGAGAAAATACCACAACTGTTCTCAGTAAAACCACCCTCGCTACATAACATCTCTTTTCTTACTAGCACTTTAATAATCTATGATTTTCTTTAACAATTACTTTAACAAGACATTTTCTTAAATTTACTCGATTTTTTTATCTTTATTTGTAGTGGCTTATGGTAGTGTCATTGGCTGTGCTCTACAACGTGATCTTTGTTCTTGGACGCGCCGTGTTCTGGGAATTGAACAACACATCCCCGCCGTTGTGGTGGACCTTGGATTACCTCTGTGATGCGATTTACATTTTAGATACCTTAATAAGGGCGCACGAAGGTAGGTACGCATAAATTCGTACGAAGGAAATCTCACGTCTAAAACTATGGCCTTTCCCCATTTTAACATTTATCCATTGTGTCGGATTACATCTTTTACATGCCGTAATCCCATAAAGAACGAGAGTGCAAGCAGAATCGTGAATCGACTTGATGGATAATGTTCCTTTCGCCTTGAGGGACAGAATTGTCTGTGACCTTGCGAAATTCTCCCACTTAAATTGCCCCATTTAACATGTTGAAGATCTCTCTCTAGTTTGCGAATTATTTATGCGACCCTTTTAGTTTGAATAATTCTAATCTCAACTGCTCCTTTAAAATAAGGGGAACAAACTTTTAATTACAGCAAACAATTCTTAATTAAAGAAAAACTTAAGCTTCTATGCTACAAACAATTATGTGGAAGTCGCTAATTGCTTGAATTCGGGGTATACGCAGGGTGCAGGATCTGTAATGACGTTAAACTGATGTCTAATGGGATAGACATCCTACGAACTCCAATTAAACTGCATGGTGGAGTAGGTTAGAAGGTGGGATACAACACTGCAGGACCCAATGCACCCGTTGAGTGGTTTAAATTGCGGTCTCTCCTTGATAACCGCTCAACTGTTACACGACGCAGCAGCAGAAGCAGGTAATGGGTGTCAAGACGTCACGTCATAGCGTCCTCAGGGCCCAATTCGCAATTTCCACCATTTCCTTACCCCGCAAAACTTTATAGTGATTATAAGATTAATTCGACGTTGTTTATTTGTTATTATCTCGATGAACTTAATGTAAATTGACTTTATTTAACCTAAAAAGTGCGGATGCAATAAACTTTTTTTAGTTGAAATTTTAGAATCCAATCTGAAAATATAATTCACTCCTATACTTCATCCCTAAGTTGTACATTTCACATACAATAAAAGCTGTTACATTTGTAGTACTCCCACGTATTTCGTTATTTATGGATCTCGCCATTTCTGAATTGACGATAACCCATGAGGTTTCCCTAAAACGATTTATGACTTCCTATTTCACCTTTTCGTCTTTTATAATATTTTTAACTATAAAACTCTTTTCGAAAAAGAAATTCGTTTTAGGTACGGTGAAATATACAACGATATTAACATAGTTAATTCATTTTGTCTTCAACTATAGTTACATAATTCGATCGCGATTATGAACATTCGATGGTTTGCGTAGGCGAAAGTTGGCGTTGTATATGGTGTCCTTGCATTATCGAATTCGACAGCCCACGCACACTGCTCGGAATTGAAATTTGTTGCCCAAAAATAGAGATATGTGGTCGACGTTCATTACAATTTGAACAAAGGGTCGTTTAGATTATTTGTAAAAAATGTATAAATGTTTATTTTTAAAATCAAACAGACTGTAGTCAACACTACACTGGTTGAAGATTAAGGGAGGTGAATGATAGTAATTACGAAGGAAATAATCAGAAAGAGAGACTATAAATTATGATTCTAAGTAGAATCACGCCTAGGTTATTAGGACCAATGGAAATTTAATAACAAAGGGTGCAAAAGAATAACAGAAAACTTGCTATAAAGTTAACATACATACCGACTAGGAGATTGTCAATAATGGGAAGCACACCTATCATAAATTTAGTGCCTCAAGTTGTTGACAAGGTGAGATGGATGCTCTCGTTGGACAAATAATAATTCTAATAGTTCAAATATGACTTGGAAAAATGTTAGAAATGAAAAATTTTAATCTTGTTCAACTACTTATCGATCACAATGTCTTTGGCAGCTATCTAAAAACTATACAGAGAAAAAAGATAAATCAAGTAGTGCTATTCCAGAGGAAAGGATATAAAGACTTTAAACATAGCTTATTTAATTGTTTGTACTTGTCGTTATTAGAAAGTGACAAAAATAAGATAACCATTGTGTTCAATTTGTGGGAGAAGGTTTGATATCTTAAGTGAGCTGTATAATGGATAGTTTCTTTTGTGTTTTATTAACCATGTGATCTCACGAAATATAGAAAGAAATAAAAAAAAATCAGATTTACATGTAAGAACCAAAGGAACAAGGAAGGGAAAAAACGATCTTTATTTCAGCAAAATAACAAAAGGTGGCTTCTAAAATATGAAACATTACAATTCCAAAATTTAATAACAAAAAACAATAAAATGAATTATATCTAAAACTGTAAAAATATCAAAAAAGCCAAATAAGTTAAAAAGTTAAAAAACTAGAGTTATCTCTGGAGTTGTTACTGGAAGACCAATTATTACTAACTAGAAGAGCATATACAGAACTTAAATTTTCAGTATCCGTTCTAAAATTCACCGATCCAACTTCCCTATTAATATAAATCATTTCTAAAAAGAGTTTCTTATTGTAATTCAATTCCTTTTCATGGATAGAGATATTGTCAAAATCAAAGTGATGCCCTTCCTTAACGTGATGCGCAACTAAAGCACTCTTTCTTTCTTGGCGTGCTTGACAATCTCTCTTATGCTGGTTGATACGGCTAGATAAGTATTGAGAAGTAGTTCCTATATATGAACCATCGCAATTGCTACATGGGATTTTATAGATGACATTTGACTTGGATATCAACGGTATAGGTTCTTTAATTCTTGAGAATAGACAGAAAAGAGGTAAAAAATTGGTGTTAGAAAACCTCAGAGGTTCAGAGGATAGAAGAGAATTGAGTTGTTTAGTGAGACCGGGTAGATAAGGAATTTTTATATATTTAGTGATCCTAGTTGGGTTAACAGTATGTTGTGGCGCTGTCATGTCAATAATATTAATCTTACTACTATTGTGGTTAAAGATACCACCCAAAACACGAGGTGGAAAGCCATTATTAATGAAAATGCTAAACAAGTAAGGATTTTAAGTAAGGATCCTACTTCTAAATGCTCTAAGTTACTGCTATAAAGGGAGTACATTGACAAAACCACTTATATGAGATTGATTTGTCATAATAGTGTAGCACCAGATACTACGGACTTCCAAAAATTCACAAATATGACTGTCCTTTGCGCCCTATTATTTCTTTTGTTGGTTCACCTACATATTAACTGTCTAAATTCTTAGCTGAAATTTTGAGTCAGGCCTTCAGTGAAAGAACCACCTATAACATCAAGGACACGTTTACCTTTGTTGATAAAATAAAGGATTTTAAGTTACCACACGGTTATGTATTGATTTCACTTGACGTGGTTTCATTATTCACTAACATTCCCTTAGAGTTGGTAAAAAAAGTTATCACTACTAAGTGGGACTTGTTGGAAATGACGACATCTATTGACAAAGAGCTGTTCGTCGAATTGATAGTGTTTTTGTTTGAATCATCTCATTTTATTTTTGATAAAAAGAATTACAGTCAGAAATTTGGTACTCCAATGGGGAGTCCTCTCAGCCCCATTTTAGCTACTATGGTTATGGATCATCTTTTGGATGAGTGCGTTCCTTTACTCAACTTTACTTTTCCCTTCATCTTTAAGTATGTAGATGATATTATCTGAGCGGTTCCTTCAGACTAGATTGACAATGTTCTTAACGTATTTAATGGTTTTGATCCACATTTACAGTTTACTGTTGAGACCGAGGTTAACTCATATATACCTTTTCTGGACACGAAGGTTATTAGAAATGATGACCAGACCATTATCTTGGATTGGTACACTAAATCCACATACTCGGTTAGATTCATAAATTTTTATTTCAAGCATCCTACCAATCAAAAGATTAATACTATTGTCGCCATGCGGGATAGAATTAAATTAATTTCCAACCCTGTTTTTTGGGAAAGTAATAAAAAAAGGTTGTTTAACATTTTCATTAATAATGGCTTTCCACTTTATCTTTTGGGTGGCATCCGTAACCACAATAGTAGTAAGATTAATATTATTGACATGACAGCGCCACAACATACTGTTAACCCAACTAGGATCACTAAATATATAAAAATTCCTTATCTACCCGGCCTCACTAAACAACTCAATTCTCTACTATCCTCTGAAACTCTGAGGTTTTCTAACAGTAATTTTTTACCTCTTTCCTGTCTATTTTCAAGAACTAAAGAACCTGTACCGTTGTTATCCAAGTAAAATGTCATCTATAAGATCTCATGTAGCAATTGCGATGGTTCATATATAGGAACTACTTCTCAATACTTATCTAGCCGTATCAACCAGCGATTGTCAAGCACGCCAAGAAAGAAAGAGTGCTTTAGTTGCGCATCACGTTAAGGAAGGGCATCGCTTTGATTTTAACAATATTTCTATCCTTGAAAAGGAATTGAATTACAATAAGAGACTCTTTCTAGTTACTAATAATTGGTCTTCCAGTAACAACTCCAGAGATAACTCTAGTTCTTGTTTTTTTTTTAACTTTATAACTTATATTTGGCTTTTTTGATATTTTTACAATTTTTGGATATAACTCATGTTATTGTTTTTTGTTATTAAATTTTGGAATTGTAATGTTTCATATTTTCGACGCCACCGTTTGTTATTTTTCTGAAATAAAGATCGTTTTTTCCCTTCCTTGTTCCTTTGGTTCTTACATGTAAATCTGATTTTTTCAACTTTTAACGTGGTTCGTGCCGAACATTATAATTTAGACGTTTATAATTTTAAATTGTAGTTTAACGTTATGTTGTGCTTAATTTTTTTTTGTAACTTTGATAATGTATTTGTTTACTATCACATTTTTAAGTATTGCAGTGTTAAACTGAGTATTCAGGCTTACGTTATGTATTTGGCTTTTTATGCTTCCATTTTAATTTCAATTTTTCTTTAATTGTAAGTCTTGGCCTTTGTTTTGTTTTAATTGATTAGTTTTGCCCTGAAGAACGAATAAAATTATTCCGAAAGCTCGGTTAAAGAAAAAAAGGACAACTTTGTTTTAATTCCCTTGTATGGTCGATTCCCAGGATTTCCACATTTACTATAGAAAGAAAGTACTGTTTGCGGATACAAGAAGGTTCTTTTCCTCCAACTCATCACATTCCAACCTAAATGATTCCTAA